AGGCCTGTGTAAACAATAAAACCATCGTAGGCCTGTGTTAACAATAAAAACATTGTAGGCCTGTGTAAACAATAAAACCATCGTAGGCCTGTGTTAACAATAAAAACATCGTAGGCCTGTGTAAACAATTAAAACATCGTAGGCCTGTGTTAACAATAAAAACATCGTAGGCCTGTGTAAACAATAAAACCATCGTAGGCCTGTGTTAACAATAAAAACATTGTAGGCCTGTGTAAACAATAAAACCATCGTAGGCCTGTGTTAACAATAAAAACATTGTAGGCCTGTGTTAACAATAAAAACATTGTAGGCCTGTGTTAACAATAAAAACATTGTAGGCCTGTGTTAACAATAAAAACATCGTAGGCCTGTGTTAACAATAAAAACATCGTAGGCCTGTGTTATCACTATAAATTACGTACATCTTCTTACTCTTGTGTATTTCAAGGATTGCCGTATAAATCTACATATGGTACAGGGAATACGTACAGATACCTTTAAAGACTGCCGTATAGATCTACACATAGTACAGGAAGTAAGTACAGGTACTTTCGGGGAGTGTCATATAAAACTACATATGGTATATAGAGAGTAGTTAGAGATACCTCCAGGGAGTACCTTATGAATATGTTATAATACAAAAAAATAGTTAGATACCTTTTTAACACTTCAAACTACTCGGTACAATTTTCTTTGGGGGACCTTGGGGGACTGATCAGCTATAGGTATTGAAATTTAAAAGTTTTTTTTTTTTTGTGGGGGCACGCCATATGAAGGGTCCGTCGGTGGGTTGTCCCGATTGCACCAGCAATAAATACGCCACTGGATACCACCTTATGGTTAAACTTATTAAAACTAAAACTATAACACTTCAAATAATTAGAGGTTTAAATAAGATTTTACATTGTAACTCATCTTTATATTTTAAGTTTTAATATAAAGTGTGTTCATCCTGATGTTACGATTCGTTATATTTGAAGCTTTAATATAAAGTTTGTTCATCCTGATGTTATGATTCGTTATATTTGAAGCTGTAATATAAAGTTTGTTCACCCTGATGTTACGATTCGTTATATTTGAAGCTTTAATGTAAAGTTTGTTCACCCTGATGTTACGATTCGTTATATTTGAAGCTGCAATATAAAGTTTCTTCACCCTGATGTTACGATTCGTTATATTTGAAGCTGTAATATAAAGTTTCTTCACCCTGTTTTAACAGAGATATTTCATTCCCCAGATGTTCTAACACGTCATTCTGTTCGAACGCTAATCAAGTTTTTGAAAATAAATACAATAAAATAAGGATGATCTCTGGCGATATACAAAAGAGCACGCGACCTTCTGTGATTGAATGCTCTAGTGGTAAGCAACATCTGGTGAGTAGAACGCTGTCTCTTTCTTTGTGATACATTAGATACCTGTTTACATTGTATTAATATGTATTACTCCATTAGATACCTGTTTACATTGTATTAATATGTATTACTCCATTAGATACCTGTTTACATTGTATTAATATGTATCACTCCATTAGATACCTGTTTACATTGTATTAATATGTATTACTCCATTAGATACCTGTTTACATTGTATTAATATGTACCACTCCATTAGATACCTGTTTACATTGTATTAATATGTATTACTCCATTAGATACCTGTTTACATTGTATTAATATGTATTACTCCATTAGATACCTGTTTACATTGTATTAATATGTATTACTCCATTAGATACCTGTTTACCTAGTATTAATATGTATTACTCCATTAGATACCTGTTTACATTGTATTAATATGTATCACTCCATTAGATACCTGTTTACC